AAAAACAGAGCGAGAGCAATTTTAACTCTGGTGAGACTTAACGTTTCGCCACATTGTAGCAAATTCTTTGCTATATTCGTTCGAAAAGGCGTTTTTCGGAGTTTCGCAACGCGTTACTTTTGCGTTAAAAACGTACGAAAAAGGCGTTTTCAAACGTTTTGCTAGAACGCGTTCCATAACGCGTTTTTTGATCGTTAAAAAGGGAATAAAAACGCGTGAGAATAGAACATTTTGGTAAAGCCAAAGGTGGGGCTGAGCTACTCAGTGGGACTTCATCTAAAAACAGTAGAAAGTCTATAATAAAGGAAGCGCAAAACTCATGATCTAAACCTGAAAAAGAACTAAAAGAGGATGATATTTCTGCGATATTTCGACTGTGCTTATATACTCGGCTAACCGCAAAACAAGACAGCGAATGCCCAGGCGTAAAAGAATCGACAAAGAAATGCGTTTTCTCTTCACTTTTAACGAGCATAAAACGCATTAAGAGTTTCAGAACCAACGCTAATAAAAACTGGTTTCAGAACGAACGACAACGCGTTTTTTTGACCGTGACTAACGATCCTAAAACGCGTTGTAACTCATTTTTTAACGAAGCTTTTTGAAGAAAACACGTTAAAACGACCAAAAGAACACGCTGCTTTTGAAACCATTAACTCGTTTTTATGTAAAATAAACGCGTTTCAACGATCACTTTAACGTCGTTAGAAAACGCGTTAAAAAAACGCCAGAAAAGGGTTAATTCAACGATCGTTAGCAAACGCATTGTCGACGATCGCGTTATTCTGAAGTTTTGAACGACAAAAAGCACGTTTAAATGGGTCTTTTAACGATCGTTCGCTAACGCGTTTTTTGTGCCGTTTCTAACGATTTTTGTTCGCCTGGGATGTTTACTCAACATTTGTAGTGGCAGCTGCTGCCGGAGGCGTGAAATTTTTTTGATTCACACTTCAGGATCCATCGTTCGGATTTATATACGATCTTTCGGTTTCTTATTGCAGAAAAACTGTTCATCACTTGTTGATCACGCTGTTTGCGCCTAACCTTTCAAAATTCTAGCTGAACTTAGCCTACTCAGGCCCCCTGGGTAGGCTAAGTTCAGCTAGAATTTGGCCAGGCCTACGGCTTTTATTTCGAGGGTAAGCTCGAGCCTACTCGGGCCTCATGGAGCTGTTCCCTATGGCTATGAATACAGAAAAACTTGAAACAATCAGCTATTAGAGTAGCCGTTAGCACTGATATAGTCGACCAGATATAAAGTATTATCGTTCAGTGTCAGTTTTAGATATTTTCGCTTTATGGAGTGGAATATTGAATTGTGGTTGAAAGTCCTTTGTACTGTAGTTATGTTTTTTCTCCGTTGAAAATCGCACATAGGTGTGTTAAAAACAAAAACTCAATTTCCGTTTATCCAGTAAATGAAAAGATCAGCATTGATAATTTTCGAAAAACTTTTATCAGACACCTATTTTTAAGAATATTTTCTTCTCTTCCTGCTATCGAATTTTCATCAAAACATCAAGCAAAATAAAAATATCTCTTAGCATGAACAGAAATAAAACAACGGGTGAATCAAAATAAAAAACAAAAATAAGCTAAAAAGCACAAAAAGACTGTCTTTCTATATATTCTTAGATGCAAATTCTGTTTCAGTCAAGAGAAGCCATTTTCTATCTGTGTAAAAGAGTTCAATCACGGGTTTTAAGAAAACGTTAAACTCAACAATAGCTGAGACTTGGGCCTCTTTGGCCTTCTAAGTAAATGCTGTGAAGTACAGTTCAGCGTAGAGCAAAATACTACAACGGACGTCCATACTGAATATGTTCAAAGGAGAATTTTATTCACGCGTAAACATTAATATCTGTGATATGGATAAGTTTTATTTCTTTTCATGTCAAAAGATTCACACGAAACATGATGAAAGTTAAGGTAGTGGTGATTAGCATAAAATCGAATCATACTCTGTTAAGAAACAAAGTATTATGTCTTAACTATAAAGAAGTATCATCAAATCTTTTGACTGTTGGTTCATTCTAACTGTGTGAATATGACAATCTCTAGTCAGATATTATAATGCCACTTTGAAGTGTAATATGCACAATTACAATAATAAAATAAGTAAAGATTTCTCTATGAATGATTATATAAATGTAGTGATTTGATTACTCCAACAGAAATACTCTTAATCAAACGAAAACTGTAGTATCATACTGGAGATTGGAAGTGTTGCCAGATTCTTTTCAGCCATGCTTGATTAGGATCATGTTCGGAAATTAAACTTGGTCGAATTGAGAAAACACGATCTTTTTTATACGTATTCACGACACCAGCGTATTGTTGTTGTTTTTGAATTAAGAATTTTTTCTAGTATACGCTAATAGTGGATTATGTATTAACGTCAGAGTCAACAGCCATCTTTGTAGAATACGTGAATTATATTCTTTTGTTTTTCTAATGATTGGTCGAGTCAATGCTGCGTATGAGTTTTTTATGCTTCCTTAAGAGATTTACTAGCTAGTCAGCAGCCATTGGTTGATTTTTTACAATTCGTGTTAGAATGGGTTTGGTGAGCTGGTATTCTTATTTTAAGGGTTTCATAACTTGAGAAGTTTACCTTAAAAAAATGAAAGCATCGAAACGCAGAGTTTTTCGTTAAAAATGAGCGGTGGCCTAAGATATGGAGACATATAAGCGTAATGGCGTGAAGAATATAAGAAAGACAAAGAAAAATATAGCAAACCTTCCATTTTTTATCCTCGTCATGATGGAAGTGTGAAGAACTTTATGTCTTTACAATGTGAGAATGATTTTTTTGAGATACTGAAGTAAGAAAAATAACGGACTTATCTTCAGATTGTATTGACAAGAATCTTAGCTCATCGAGAGTTAATGAAATTCTGTGGTCGCTAATGTCTCCACTAGCAAGTAAAGGGATGAGTCATGTTGGACACAGCATCGACTAGTCTGGTATCACTAGAGAATGGAGACGGAGATATTTTTCCATTCGTTGCATGATGGTTCTCATTGTTTCTATTTTGCTGTTGTTTGATTTAATTTTACATTCAAATATAAATAACTTGCAAAACATAGCATAACGGGATGTGCGTGTTCTCGTTCCATATAGATATATTCCACATAAGCGCTGAAACCACTATCGAATCTTTCCAGTTTTCTACCTAATGGAGAATAATCTAAACGACACATACAGACCATGGACGCAACAACAGTAAAAAAAATTCATATGACACACGAGACAACACCGAGAAATGCATCAAGAAAAGCATTAAAATGAAGAAAAATCATTAACCACCGACGATTATCCAATGCCAATACATCACCCTAATGTTGTAAAAATGCATATTGAGCTAATAATTTATTCATATACATTTTGAAGAACATAAATAATAAAATAGAGATAATTTTTTTCAAAATACCCTCTACAAATTCAACTGAACCAAATTTAATGAAAGCATCAACTGGAAGAATGATGATAAATACTAGAAAAGCCAGTGATAAATAGCCCCATACAACATAACCGATAAAATACCCTAGAAAAACAGTTTGTACTAAAAGATGCGTTAATAAAACTTTGAGAAAGACTAACCAGAAAAATGAAAATTTGATGTTGCTAAACTAACAGTATTCAGTGTCGCTCGATGAGGTAATTCGGTAATATCGCTACGATACACTTGAAATAAATTTCGTCTTATAGCAGCTAATTTAATGTTAATTGTAACAAAACATCAACTGTGGCAAACATAATGCTAGCAACATACGGTCCCACAAATGCAGGCAATGGAAATTTATTATTGCCAAAAAGTTCATTAAATATTGTCGCAGTGCTATGTTTCTTACTTAAATTAAATATTGTTGTTAATGATTGATGCAAAGTAGCTAATGATGGAATGACCTGAGTAATAAGAAAGTCAAATTCTACAGTTGAATTTTCTATGCTTGAAAGACTTACTTTTACACAAAAATTGGTTGTCATAAAAAATAAAAGTATGAATGCTGAAGCATAAACAGATAATACACGTAACGAGTAATGAAAATCATCTCGAATCGTGTAAATCTTTTTTGGAATAATTCGTGATAATAATATTTTACTTTTTGGTCTCCTATCAACTGGTACAAATAAATATCTAACATATCTTGCTTCAATAAAATGTTTCATATAGGATAATAATTGTTTTTCTTCTCTTGATAATGACAGAGATGTTGATATTGATTTTTGTTTCAAAATCATTCGTGCGCGTATCTTTTTGATGGATAACTCTGCTAATTTAATCGATATGTAGGCTAAACAAATATATCTCGGTATGTCTATACACACATCAACGGCAATCAAATTTGAGCCTGTGCCATAGTAATCTAATAACGATTTAATATCGTCCGTACTTGAACCATTTGTTTCTTCGTACAAATTGTCGGTTGGATGATAATTACTACATATACCTTGATTAACAATACCAACAGAAAAATCTAACCAACTATAAATGGTGGCCAAACTGTATCAATATGAATAGCGACCAATATCGGATCATAACGAAATCCGATCACCAACACTTGGAATATTCGAATTAAATATCTAACAATCACACCTAAAGCGCAAATCGAACTCATCAACTTGAATCACTGGTCGAGACTGCTGTACAAACTCCTACTAAAATCCAGACATGTTCTTTGCGATTCTTGCATTGTAAATTTTTTTTATTTTTTTCGAAGTCCAGAGAAAATAAAAACTCTCATGAGTATTTCGCGTAACTCTCACGAAAGAATCGTCCCAACTGCCAAATCGCTTTCTAGTCGACTCGAAACTGTGCGAGATTCACGCTAAAAGGTCACGCAACAAGCTCTAGAGATTTTCTAATATTTTGCTAATTTAGCATTTGCATATTTTAATGTTACTCTCCACCACCAGTATAAGTATAGGTAATCGACCATGCTGATTACGAATCTCAAGATGAGACCGGTCCTTAGGCCTCCAGAGACTGTTTTTCTGAAAAACTAGTTTTTCAGCAACTCTGAAGAGTAACCAAAACTTTTCTTAATGAGGCATGATTGTAGTGCGCACATTTCTGATTAAAATAAGACATTGCCCCGGCTCTACATGACCTTTTTTTACAAAGTTATGAAATTTACAAGAGAAGCCCTAAATGTTCATTGTCAGCTCAAAGCTACAGAAATAAGAAGAAATAAATTTAGGGCTTTTCTTGGACATTGTATAACTTTGCAAAAAGAGGTCGTGTAGCAGCTGGGAGATGTCTTATTTTAATCGGAAATGTGCAGGCTACAATTCTGCCTCATTAAGAAACGTTTTGGTTACTTTTTAGAGTTTCTGAAAAACTAATTTTCTAGAAAAACAGTCTCTGTGGGCCTGAGGACCCGTCTCATGTTGATATTCGGAATCGCATGATCGACTACCTATACTTTACTAGGCTTCGACTCGAAAGTGATTTGACAGTTGGGGCGGTTCCCTCGTCAGCCTTCTTTTTGTTTTCTTGATACATTTGGTATACCAGTACCACTGGTTTCTTGAACATTTTTTGAATTTTTTTTTGTCATATTTAAAACTTTACTGAAGAAAAGGTTGGTGGAGAGTAACATTAAAATACGCAAATGCAAAATATTAGAAAATCTCTAGAGTTTGTTGCGTGACCTTATAGCGTGAATCTCGCACAGTTTCTTTACTGGTTTCTTTTTAGGATGAACTGTGACGGAAACTTAAAAAAACTATCGCCAACCTTCTCCGTTAGACGTATTTTTCGTTACTACTTGATAAACAATTTCGTGCAGCTCAGGTGCTGTTACGGCAAAAACGATGGCTGCAAGTTTTCGTTTAATACGTGCAAAATAATCGAGTGGCACTGGTGGAGCGAAATATCCTTTGCATAAATTTTTTTTAAATGAATTTCTTTTTGATAATGTAGCATATAAAATGATTAGAGCACATGCAACCGGAAATGTGAACATATTGAAATCTTGAAGATTAATTACGGAACAGATATCACTCTGTATATCCAGGAGCGTTTGATTAGTTTGATATTTATTGACAATGTCATTATGAATCGGTTTTACTAGAAATGCTTTGATAATTAGTGCAGCGGCTGCAATTAGAAACATTAATACTGTGATTATAACTAATGTAATACTGCATGTTTTTTTAAAATGATCAACAGCCACTGTCGAAACACCCTCAACCTTGATATCAGATCTAGAAATGGATACATGTTAGTGACAGTTGTACAAAGTCCATGTTAAACAATGTGGACTAACTTTTCCGTATTCTCTTTTGTACTTTTCTTTCTCACAGTATTGACTATCATTAAACCATACAATATTAATAGCAAAACGCCAAGTAAGGACTTATTCATGTAAGACGCTTCTGTGAAAAAGCACAGTTTATCTAACAGTACACCCTCACTTCTACTCGCCTGAAGACCGGGCAGTTAACCTACGGGAAAAACTCAACCTATGCGAAAAATCTAGACACATTTAGAACTCGATATGGCCATTATGCATTCACCGGTATGTATTGATGGACACTTATTTGTCTCATTGTAAAGGTCGTTGGAAGTCTGGTTTCCGCTTAATCATTCATATTCGATTCTCTTCGAAAATTTCGAAATCTCGCT